TATTATACATCTTCTAATATACATTGCTGCGACAATTTAATATATGTCATTATGTTAATTTTATGGTATTGCATTATTGATCACCAATAATAATTTAAAGATGTTAGATATAATTAATATTTTTACCAAAATTATATTCGTTTGTGTGTTATGACAAAGAAAATATATCTGACTTATCCTGAGGATTGGCAGAGCGTGAGAAATCAATGAAGAAAGCGTCAGTCCGATAGAAAATCGTGAACAAACCCATCTTGTCGATTCTTCCGGACAGGAAATCTGTGCCCGCCGCAAAATACCAACCAATCGAATCTCACAGGGAATTTAACACCCTCCACAGATGGAAAAAAGGCAAAATTTCCAATTTAAGCGAATCTCCGGTCGCTTGTCCTTTAAACAAATATTATTGCGGATTCTATTTGATCGGTTGAAAGTTCAAGACAATTCACTTAATTTGCGTCGCCTTTGCACACGTTTATCCGTTGAAAATTATCGCTATGGACATTCACATATTGTAAATATTACTTTTTAATAAATACAAGACGATATTGACTTGCAATAAATGACAAAAGAGATTCTTATTTGTGTATCTAGCATGATACCGTGCCGTATTCTTGAGACATTGTGAATCGCACTTTATTATGTAAGAAGCGGTTAAATCTTACATCCACGACTTCTACGAAGTGCCGATCAATATCATTTCTGGCAGAAAATCGTGGCTGGCAATTTCGTGAGTCCGACGCGATCGCACGCCGTTAATCGACACCTCGCTCCTATATACCTGCTCTCGTTAACGACGAACGACGTACAAGGAACTCCGCTCTGACATTTCGTCGCGTCCTATCGACACGCGAAAATCGACGAGGACGGAATAAGAAGAAGTGGGAGAGTAGGATGAAGAAGATCCATCGGTGCAGACTTGGCATCTGCGTGAACGACCTTATCGGAAAGACATAAACGCCTGAAATCCCGGCCGTAAATTAGGATCGGCAGAAATCGCTGGACTCTTCCTTCGCCGTTTCTCTCATCTTACCGAGATAGTCTGAGTCCGCAATGTGACGCGACTGTGTCTGCACGACAATGCGCCGTTATCGAAAAATCAGGCACCGATCGAGAGATGGCTCGTAGAGAGCCGATCAACCATTAAAGAAGATAACAATTTTACGAGTTAAACTAGCAAAAAATAATATTACTTGTGATCATTAAGGAATCTAAAAGTACGAAGAATCGTCTCAGGAAGGAAAGAATAAATATAATTTTTAAACAATTACGTTAATAAAAAAGAAATTACTACAATGACGATAATCCGTGTGCTAATTTTATGTAAACCGTATACTAATGTAATTGTGTGTGTGTATCTGTAATATAAATTATAAGTAAGCATAAATAATTAACATAGCAATTAAATTTTAAAAACTAGTTAGTATAAGAATAACGAATGCAGTAAATTTTTCTTCAGGATCGGAAAGAGAAATTCCACTGTCTTTGCAGAAGCACTTTGTGTCCATTGCAGGAGTTAAAATTTTTTATAGTCTTATTGAAGAAAAGGATGAAGACAATCTTCCCGTTTTAACGTTGATCCTGACAGCGGCAAAGACTGTAAGATTAATGATGCGGTTTTCCCACGACTTTTTCTCATTAAGGACTACACCGCCAGGTGTGAAAATGTATCTCCTAAATGTAGTCCAAGTCCGAACTAGATATATTGTCGTGTTATAATGTAGTAAATAATAAATAATTCAATAATTTCAATGTTGACAATTAATTTGTAAAGATAATAAAGGATCTATACCGTAATCTTAACCTTTATTATCATACCAACTATTTTATTGCGATATGTTCGATGAACAGATGAATCTTTCAGTTTGAAAAACATCTTGTAAAGTATGTTTCGTACAGCGTACTTATATGCATATTGCAGAGAGTACTACAGGAGTTAAGAATTTTTTTTATGATCGCGCGGAGGAGGACGTAGGGGAGCGGATCGGCGACGATCCTTCTTGTGATGGTTACGGCGACGAGGAAAAGAGCCAGGTTTGATGGGCGAGGTGTAGGGGCGAAGGGGATGATGGTGGAGAGTCTATGCCGTAACAAGGGTGGCACGATTTCAAGAATGCGGAGCACGTTCTCAACCAATGCCGGCAGCCAGGCAGTAAAACAAATACGCCCTCCCTATATACGGGGTGTCCTGGTAATACCACGCGCGTGTCTATGACCCTCTCACCCCCTTATCCCGGAGGAAGAGTGCTGCGGAGTAAAGTCGACCTCGTTACCGATACGAATGGAGGTAATGTGCTGTGTAGGTAGTAAGACTCTTTCGTGGCCCCCCGCGGGAAACAGGTTCTCGCAACCGAAGCTGAAATTATCTCGACAGCGGAAGTTTCCTTTACTATACTTTCTTACGCTCATACTGTCAGCCTCCCTTTGTACCAGTATCCCTCATTAAACCAGTCGCTATGTCGAACTTATACTCCATTCTTCAAATTCATTTACAACAAACATATATAACTTTTCACGATAAGACATCTCTTATTTAACACAAATTAGTAGCATATAAATAACTAAAAACAAATTAATATTCGTAACTAAACAAAAATGTGTAATATTATTAAAATTGAACGTTTACATTGATAGAGAAAACACACTTTCCAATTATAACAGATCTCGATAAAGAGATTTTAATAAAAAGATTTATGTCTGTGATCGAATACTTTTGTTTATTATAAGTTATAATATTCATATTTTTATATAGTATTCCTATATAAAAATATCGATAAAGGACTGATAAAGGTTGATAGCAGGAAGACCTAGACGATTACAACTAAAGGTATGGCGTGCAATCATTTTGTCTCTCACGTCAGATATACATTTCCTACGACCGAACGCACAGTCGCCAATGAAGCGAACTGCCAGCGGAGAAGAGCATGAAACAGCCGATAAAGGCATACAATGGCTGGTACGAGCACGGAAACGCAAATGTCCTCTTTCAGAAGCGTCCTCTTTAGAGGACAGGGAGTGATGGACAGGTGAAAGAAGTGGCCAATGTGGGCTGGTTTCGACGTCTCATGTGACACACACGTCATCAGCCTTTGTTTTCGTGTCCTTTTGGTTGAGTACTACACGGTCTTTGTCCCTAGATCCGAACTACAATTCCTTTTATCGTATTCTTCATTTGACGCTTGACGACAGTGCTCTCTTTCAAAAAATATAATACAAGATTTTGCAATGGCGACTACTATTAATATGCAAACCATCAAATAATTGGCGATTCTGTTAGTAATCCCGTTTCAAAATTATTTAAGTTTATCAATTACAAATTAATTATTTATTAAATGCGTTTATATATTATTACTATTATTTCATTGTTAAAATATTGTTCACGTTAAAATATTGTTTAAATAATTTAAGTGATACGTCACGACACGAGAAAATGTTTTCTAAAAAAAAAAAACGATTTTAATTAAATTTTGCAAATTTGATTTATTCCATTCTCAAAATAAACAACTTATTTAATAAGTATTTATATGTATTTTATGCTTCATATTTTCGTGTGTTGTTCAAGACAAAGAGCAAAATTCGCGCATGACTAAATCGATTACTTTCTCGCGAATCCATTACATTAATGTAAACAAGAAATTTCCTCGTACGCTTGCAGATCTAAACATTCCACCTGCTCTACATTTCCGATGCGCGGTTGAAGATCGTGATCCCGTTTATTCAGTGGAACCTGCTCCCATTCTCGTCATTGCTTTTCTTGAGAGCTTGATCTCTGATCTCGACTAGATCGCACGTGGATGGCACCGAGCTGCTGAACTGAGGGCCTGAACTATGGACCAGTTTTCACTTGATACAGATCACAAGCTGTTTTCCCCGACAGGCCGCGCTTCGTAGCCGCCCGTTCAACGAAACCTGTTCGTTCGCATAACGAGAGGTCCTGTTATTCTAGCTCATCATCGTGGGCTCGTGCCCGCTTTGAAAACTGGTCCATCCGACGAGGGATGCTGCCCCCGGAACAATGACCACTGTCCACTCAAACGTATACAAACATTGTGCCATAAAACGCAACCAGTTAGCCTTTGACTCTTATTTTCTGAGTTTCGCGGTCAGTTGTAAAGGACAAAAAACTGGTCCATCCGAAGGGAGATGCTGCCGCTCTTCTCCCTCCACTGTCACTGCTTACAATGGAGCTAATAAACGCGCAACCTCAAAGTATGCATCGAGTTGATCTTTGACTTTCACACTGCGAGGTTTGACTACAATCCCCTACATATTTAAAGAAAAACCTAAACTGGCAATAAACAAATATAACAAACTTGCAAAGAGAACAACAATTTAATATTCTGACGAATATTTATTAGACGTAATTGTTGCTTCTTAATAAAAAAAAGTCTCAACTGTTTTCGTAATTAATATATCTGAAAGAATACTCAATTTTCATCAATCAAATTGAATTAGCAGTAAAAATTTTGAATATTTGTAATGCTATTTAAATATTTATCCCGTTAACGACATTTCTAAATACATCATCGTACAGGTATTTTATATTATAAGAAATGCAAATTAATCTTTAAATCTCATATATTATCCTACGATTATAATTATAATATATCAAAACCCAGTATATATGAATGCTGTTTTTATTTTTATTACTCTTCTTAGCTTAAATTGTATTCCGCTCCCGTTTTGTCATCAAGTGTTTATAACATTAATATTAATATTCACAAAATGTATATTATGTGTAAATATATGTAAGTATTCGCAATATATCGTGGATTCGCGCGCGCTAAGCCGAAATGACTCGGCTCGGATCAGTCATCCCTGTGGGAAAGTGGCAGAATCGATTTTATGTGTGTTCCGGCTGCCCTCTAACAAAGAACAGGGAGACAAATAATGGGATGGATAACGTAGGAAACTATCATTACAGTATTTGGCAAACTCTACAAATAAAATGTTTTATATTCATTAAAGGTTTTTAATCATTTATATTATTTACATTTCTCCATTACTTAAATGTTATAAAAGTATAGCTGTATTCAGATAAAGTAAAGGAGCGGAAGAGAGACAATTTATCCATCGGGTCTCAATACTCGCTGTAGATGATAACTCTGTAGATGGCAACTCTCAAATCAGTTGATGATATCTAATTTATATCTATCGATATCTAATTTAAATCGAAGGATGAACGAAAAAATTACAATTGTCGGACGCACGTTGCGATACAATTATTATTCGTCAGAGTAATATGAGAAATCAAAATGCTAAACATTCAATACTTAGAAAACCGATAAAATATTTGTTGCCGTCTCGTTTCTAAGCAACCCCCCTGCGTAGCTTGCGCATGAGAACACGTACTGCGGCGAATAAGCAATGACAAGTATGCACTTCTAAAAGCATTGACTGTCGAATTACCTATCGTCTTCACCTTGAAATGTACGGATCATACCAAATGTGCAACGTTTCACCGACCGCCGACCAAGAACAAAAGATACAAAAGATCAAAGAATTAACAAATATTTTAAAGGTCTCGTTCAAAAAAAATGATTAATGAAGTTTTTCTTTGATGTTTGTGAAATGATTTATCTTTCAATGAGTTCTAAAAGAGATTTCGTTTGATTCACTGCACAGGATACGGACAAGAACCTCACCATATGCGAAGAAATATTGGCAACGTATATAAAGAAACGATTAAAGGTATGCACACAATAATTTAGCTCTTCCTACATGCCTTATTTATTTAGTTTAACGCTTTCATTTTTTTTTTTTTATGTGTAAGATCGAGTGCTGTATTGTCTTACAATTGACACATAATTACAACTAATTGGCACCATAAATGTGAAGTTTCAAAGTATCTACTAACAACTACTGTAAAATCTAAATTTAAAATAAACATCGATATATACCTTATCATAACACTTTCTACAACGTATCCACAAATAACTCAACAAATATTATGAATTACGATAACACGAATTGTGACACTTGTAAATTATGAAATGTTAAAAAAGATGCTAAAAATCGACGCGTACTTTCCTAGCAACACAATCACATACTTCAAGACTCGAAATTTACCATCCTTTGTACCAACCACCGTGCCAACCACCGTATGACAACGGCCAGCCCGACGGATACCAACCATTGCCGTACAATCCGTAGCTACTCAATCCGCCCAATCGATACCTGAGAAATCGAACGCATAAATCAACTGTCAGCGCCAAATTGCTGTTCTGAGATTTTTACATTCGCGCCGTTGACAAAATATTTATCTGTACTATTTACCACGGCAACACGGGAGTGTAAGTGCGTGTGTAGGGCAAGGAAAGCAGATTGTAGCTTCTTTTTCCTAATTTTTTTTCTCCTATGAATTCCTGAGCACTCGGTTGAGCTTGAAAAACAGTGGTCACTTGTGATGATACATCATTGCCGTCGGCTGTTCTTTCCGCGACGAGACTCTCGGAGACCAGAATGATAAACGACAACAAAAGCTAGAATAATTATCGATTTATGGACAATACGAATATGAATCACCATAATTAACGAACGACTGTACGAAATATTGCAAAACTAGACGATCATTTCGTCGATTAAAATGTATCGCACAATCAATGATGATAAACAACAACATAAATGATAATATAAAATAAAATAAATGTTCAAATAAATATAGTATTTCTAGCTTGATCAAAATTTTGTTAATATTTGTAACACATAAACAGATTTTTGAAATTATAACACAATATTTTTTGGCATCATTACTCTTTCTAAATTTATATGTATTTACGTATCAAAAAAAAAAAAAAAAATATATATATATACAATATATATATATATCACGCACAAAATTGGGTTACCGACAAAATTCACTAATTTTGCATGTCAACCTCTACAAATTAAATGCTTACCAGCAGCTTCATGTTAAGAATGGTGCGCACTAACTGATAGCACCCAAGAAGTTAACACTTCTTTTATACTGGATTCCTTATACAAGTCCTTATACAAGTTCGCTAAATTTATGATGAATTCTAGATCCACCGGTATGCGCGCACATACAACTAGCATGACTAGCTTGACTAACAACTCTACAAAACCACTCCCATCTCAAGAATCGTTAAACGACATAACGATTACAAAAGAGTATCACGATTTATCTCCGAGGTCATTTTCTAATCAGAAATATATAAGATAAATGTGAGAAAAGTTAGAATATTATTTTATCACTTGTTTTTTACAATATAAAAGATATTATGAAAAATATTTGAATAAAATGCAATAAAATTATATGATAAAATTGTATGATTTATATTATGCTAAATATAACATTGAAAAGAAGATAATGTTTTCTTAATTATTCTATAAAAGATAAAAATGTTACACTTTCACGCGACGACAAAGAATCGAGCAAAAGATATTGACGAGTACTTGCTATATTGCAGACGTTCACTTTCGCGAGACGATCACTGTGAGAGAAATCATTCCAAAAAAATTATATAAATAACATGAGATTTTTATGAAAATTTAAAGAAATTTTACTTTTAAATTTTTTCTATCATTTTATGCAAGTAAACTCTGTTCTTAAATGATCAATGACAAAGTAAATTTTTGAAAAACATATTCATAACAACTTTCAAATAGTCATAGTCAATTTTCAAAATAAATATTAATTTTTTGTAAACTCATAAAATTAATTACAATCTATTACAAGATTTTAGAGAAATATATCGAGTATACAATTTGTTCAATTCATTACTAAAAATTAATATTTTAATAAATTGATTTTTTTAATTAAATAAAAATGTGTAACCAGTAATAAGATTATAATATAATGCCGTGAAATATCTTTGCCTTATATTCGGTTTCGTGACCATACTAATTGATTTCGTTCAGTAAGTACGTTTTCGTCACATTGCCACATTAATTCATAACGTAATGCGTAACAACATTTATAAAAATGAGTCCAATCTCGATTTCTTATTTCATATTTGAATATTTAAGACTTAAATGTCGTTAAAGGAGATAAAACAACTGCATCGCTCGCATTGTTATTCAATTCGAATAGCACTGCCGTTTACATTGTGTTCGTTCATGAAATATTCCGAATTCATCTAAAGCCATGTAATCTTAAATGTGTTCAGGATGTTATGTAATCGCGAGCCCTTCCTTAAACGCGCAGTGTACTTTTTTATTCTATCCCTCCCTCGCGAATCGTCATCCTAAAAGGTTTTATCGCCGGCAAACTAGGAAATAGCAACTTTCTCTGACCAAGAAACAAGTCATATACATCTACTTACGAAAGCCGTAACAAATGTCTTATAAGTTAGCGGAACAAAGTGAGCAGAATCAATTCTAACATTTTTATTTGTTGCTAAAAATGTTGCCAAAGAAAAAAATTTGTTGCTCTGTAGATTATTAAAAAAACGATGTTATGCTAAAAGAAGATTAAGATAGCGTAACAATATATATATGTAAAATAACAAAACTGTATATAACAACATAAGAATTTGTTGCTTATGAAATAACGGTATAATAACATAAAAATTTCTCAGCATGCAAGCAGTATAAGAGTGAAGTATCAATAAAAAATTTGTTGCTCATTTAAATTTGGTACGGAGATGTTGTCTAAATTTGTTACTCTCGAGATATGCAAGTTACGAATTTGTTATTTGTAAAATAGGTATAAATAATAACAAAAAACCATTCAGTGTTCACGCAGTTACAAAAATAAATTATCCAAAAAAAATTTGTCGCTTATTCAAATTTTGTACTGACATATTGTTTGAATTTGTTGCTCTCGAAATATACGTTTCGAATTTGTTGTTCGCTGTAAAGTATTAAAAGACTTCTTATGACATGACCTTTTTGTATGATTTATTGTCATTATCATTCATATTGGGAGATTTTCATTATTACTTAGATTCGTCTTCTAATTAGTTATTGTCATACCTTTTGCGTGCACCTGTCGCTCTTATTTTCTATCAGGTATTTTATTTTTCTACTACTTGTAAACAGTTGCATCAATAAAATTATTATTGTTGTTGTTGTTATTATTATTATTGGTATAAAAATTAGCTGCTCTAGCATGATTTTAATGCTGAATTATTTTACAGTCTAATTGTATATTTGAGAATTGTTAAAGAGAATTGTTGATTATTGCGTATTTTAAAATGCGAGGTAATTTTTATATCCTAAACATGCTTAAGGCGACTCTGTACAGTCAGTACTGTCAGTATTAACAATATTAACAAATACTGACAATATTACTGATCATACTGGTCATAACCGTATTCCATATGCTGTAATCTGTAAGAATTCACCAGGGCAGTTGACTCTATAACATTGAATTTTTTAAATCCTAGTCCTTTTTTTCGATTTTGACTTAAATTGTTTGGCCAATAAATAGAGTATATTTTTCAAGAAAATCTCTGGCATATGTCAATCTCTGAAGGATCATAAATAAGAGTTATTGTAAAGATAACAACTTTTTAAGAGTATATGCATTGTTATTGAAAATCTCATTTCCTGAAACTATCAAACTTTCAATTTCTTCAAGAAAGTACGTGGTGGATTCCCACGTACTTCCACGGCAATTCTTTCGAGGGAATTTAATCTCTCAAGATAATTGAAATCTCTATATGAGTTAAACGGGTTATTTAACCGCTATCCGATACTCGGCATTGACGTTTTACTTGCTAATTCAATTATCTCTCAGCCAGTTTTTTTGGACTTTTATATTTGGACTTAGAACCGGCAATGGCAGAGTTAAATAATTATAAATAAAAACAAGAGCGAAACAATATCAAAAATAATAAAGATTTAAGAAAAATATATAATATAAATATATATTATAATTTAGTTTAAATTGTACTTATATGGGTTTCAAAAGCGTGAAGAGTAGCGTACCGAAGTTTAAATTGAGGTAGAAAGCACATAATTACAATACTAACGTACACACGTAAATTGTCCTCGTAATCAGTCACGTCGATATTAATTGGACTCGAATTAATATTTATTGTTAACCTTCCATAATATTCTTGTCTTTCTACTGCCACAATCAACTGTAGTCGGATGTAATATAATTGTTTTTAAGGAAATGCTCGCACGAACAGGTACATTTTATATAACGCTGGCACGGATAGATATATTTTATATAACGCTGTCATATATAGATATTTAAATAAATTTCTTATCATATATTATATATTGATTGAATTTCAAAATTCTTCGTTCAGCTAAATACATCACGTTAATTAATATAAATTAAAAGTTGAGTTAGTACACGAAGTCTTCTACAAATTTCATATCCTTTTTAAAAATATGTCATGTTATATCTCATTATTATGTCCAAAATGTAAGTCACTTCTTTTTGTATGTAGCACATTTAAAACGGGAAATATAAATTATGTACATGCATTGACAAGTAAATTTTTAATTCATCGAAATCAATATCGGTTCTCTATTGAATAATTCGAACATGTAACAGTAGTGTTGTTCTTAATAATCTTCGCTTCTTATTTTAGATTCTAAAAATATAAGGTTGTCGACCCGAATATAAGAAAGTTTGTTACGAGAACAATAATTTTTCTTCACACTGGCAATTCTCAACGAAACAAATAAAATATTTTTGCATTTGTTAGACAAGCTATCGTAAGTTGAGAATCTGAGATACTGACAGTAAATACAAATTAATTTTACGCTTGTGCACGCACTGGTGAATCACCTTTCACTTAGGAAACTAAAAAAATGTACAAACGCAAGCATGCACGACAAGTCTGTCATATCTTTAATAGCTGGCTAAGTTATCTTAAATTTTTTTCTGCATTATAATTGCAAATAAAAAATATTCTTCATTTTTATGTAAATAAATACTTATCTGTAAGGACTGCAAAAATTATTCTTTACATAAAGAAATACTTATCTTTATAGAATCAAAAATATTATCGTAATAAACAATTGGCCTCTCTATAAATAACCAAGAATAAAAATTCATTTCTTTTGTTGTTTCTCGCTGTAGCTATTCCCAGAGTAATTAAATTATTAAGCAATTTGCACCTTCAATTTTTCACTTATAAAACCTAATTATTATTAACAATGGAAACTAACAAATTTAATGTGGATCTATTGTTCTCTTAAAAACTGTGGAATATTGTGACAGATATGTCATTTTTGCGTGCAATTAAATGACGAGAAAGAATTTATCCAGCCAGAATCGCATGAGCGCGCATAATTTTCTTGTATTTATTTCTTTAGCAGTAATACCAACTTATCCGCGCGCGATTCCGTACCTCGGTCATTCCCGCGCGCGCATTGCGTCGTACTGCTTCAGTTGTCGCAAATCAACGAGTAGGCCCGTACAATTCAAGAGAAACTCGATATTTCTTTCCGATATTATGCAAAAATTATCCCCGCCCGCCAAGTCATTGTTTAATGACAAGCTATGCCGCCGCAATCAGCCGACAGTCCTCGTGGAGTTCTGAGGCACGAAAGTAGCGCGATCCGACTGCAATTATTGCAATAATATCTACGGCCAAGTTTTAAGTCATTCATCTATCTAATTTATTATTGCTCATCTTCTAATAAAACCAGTATAATAATGATTGGTGACATAAAGACAAACGCTAGAATATAAACAGCATGTGTGAATTTTTCAGATAAAATAAAGACTGATTTTAAAAGAAACGCGCGTTTAATACGAAAATAAAGTGTCTTAATTTGATAGTTAATTTGATAGTTAAAAAAGTGACTTAATACATAGATCCAATGTACAGTATGCGATTGTTTCCGAACATCAATTAGGTGTCTCCCACAATGGAATTGTATGTACAAATATTAATTCTATGTTTATTGTGCGTCGCGCGCGCGTTCGAGGTGCCACCGGAGGAAATCGCCGAATTCGGGGCAGGACCTTTGACACACATCGAAAATCTATCGAAAATCTCTGTACAAGAAACCGATGGAATCGACAAACAATCTACGGAAAATCCTCGCGATAAGAGAGCTCTCGGTGTTCTGCTATCAGGTCTGGCCCAGATTTTTGGATATACGGTGACTCCAATTCAATTCGCCTCGCTGCCAAATCCGAATGTCACAAAACCCGCTGCAACGTCCAACATGCCCAAGGCTGATGTAAAACAAAATGTTGCATCTTCTCAACCTGCGAATACCACTGTGCCAAAGCAGCAAGAAACCATCAGGTTTACCGGTGTGTTAAACTTTGGCAATAATTCGAACATTTTAGGACATCTTCAACAATACGAGCAGATCTTTCACGGTCGTCAAAATAATACAATAATGATGACGACATCGCGACCCGCATCAACGCTTCCTGCAAAGATTCCGATGGATCTGGGGACACACTTGCAGACGCAACAGCCTTTGTTGGCACCGTTCTTCGTCAAAATCCCATTACCGTTGGCGCCGAATCTTCTACCAATGGATCCAGTCGAGAATCTCGAACTGCCGTATCCTTCTCCACCCGTTTCTGTCAGTGACTCAAACGAAAATACGGAAACGCCAATTCGGAAAGAGCAGGAGATGATATATAGGAGTAATGAAGACACAGAACGATACACGGTGAAGGAAAAAGATATTTACGATGAGAATGACGTGAGGAAGCCAATGAACAAATATAATCATCAATTACATATCGACGAGCTGAACAAGCAGCAAAACAAGAAACCTGACGAATTGCAACGCAAACAAAAAGAGCACATCAAGAATCCAAACCAGCGGGAAGAAGAAAGGAATCATGATCAAACTGACCACTATAAGGAGGAAGAAATAAATGAAAGATACAGGAATCATGAAGAGGAAATCGCTGATCGAAATCGAGATGCTTCCAAGAATGAATCAACGGAAGAGAGAAGACCAACGCATCATGATGATGAGGAAGATGAAGACTCCATGGAAAGACATAAAGAGTATGCCAGCCAGAAGAATCTCCCGAATAAGTCCTCGAAGCAATCTCCAAAAGATGAGGAAGAGGAAAACGAAGACTATCACGACGATCATTCTAACAAACAATTTAATAGATATAAACAACCTGAGGATTTCGACAAGTACGTAGAAATAGGATATCAGCAGTTGCCTATCGGCGATTATTTCCACGAGGGTAACCCCGAAGTGATTCGTGACAGCTACGGCGAGGTATTAGACAATAAGAAACTAAAAGATGATAGAATCGCCGATTACGTAAATATGTTCAAGCATCCATATGTTCAAACTAACGCGTATGATTCGCAAAACGTTCACAACAATCCCAAAGATGTGTCGCGGGAAGAGAATGAAGAAGAGACATCTGCCGAGGATGGTTACGATGAACATTTGATTAGGCTGCAGAAGCTCAGAGAAGAATACGCCTTGCCGGAGAACAAGTACGAAGAGTATGACTTAAATGACGAAAATGAAGCGGATAGAAATGATAGAGAGAATCTGAGAATCCAAAATAATACATCAAGAAGACCTAAAAAACCGGGACATTTCCGTGATAAGGAAGATGATGATGTGAGATTGGAGAACGCGGGATCGCAGGAAGAAGCCGATTTTAGAACATACGTGCCTCTAGTCGTGCCTGTGCGTTATATCGATGCGAATGATAAGGTACAGCAAGCAACTACACGACGGCTGAACTATAAAAAGGCAGATAAATCAACGGACAGCCGGTTCAATGAAAACAATATGAGTACGCAAACAATCTTTAAAGAGCAGACTCTGCTGACTCCGCAGATCGGTTTGCCTGAAAGACCACGACAATTACACGAAGGCGAGCACAAAGAGTTTCAGGTATGGCCACCGCCTTTCGATTACGCCTTTGACAATACGGAACCGGCGACTACTATCGTTCCGTCAAATTTACCGAATTATTATCCTATCACACAAAATTATGCTCCAAATCATTATCAACATGTTGTAAAAGAAATCGCAGCACAAGATGCGAATGACAAGTCTTCGGAACAACCTTCCGGTTATCTCGTAGTCGTTGGTAATCCGGAAAATCCGTATGGACAGCCTTATAATTTTTATTATTTCTCCAACGAAGCTGCGACCTCGCAAAGTCAAGTTCCTAATCCACATGCCGAAGTTCCGCGTCCGCGAGACCCAGTCTACGTTGCTCATCAAGAAAGCGCCAGTGAACAGATCGTCCAAGTAAAACCTAATATTACCAAATACAATCTGAACGAGACCACAAATAGTCCACGTGACTATTACTATCAGCCTCAGGAAATTCCAGTAAACATTCTCGATCGTTATAGATATACTTTTGAAGATCGCAGCCCACAAACCAAAGCGCCGTTTAATATTGACATAAATAGTCAAATTTTTAACACGGAAAATTGGTCGAATAAGATATACAGGCCGCAATCCCCAAGTAATACAGCCGAGCAATCTCGACCAGTCTTTACGTTACATCAGAATATTCCGCCTTTAAATCGGAACGCACAAAGTAGATCATCGGAAAGGCCGCGTCATTCGGGGCTGTTAAGAAAACGACGGAGTTTGCAGCCAGAAACAGAAAATCGCGAAAACAACGAAGAGGCAAAGACTCCGCAGCAGACTCTGACGAGCAAGCCATTCGACGATCCCCAAAGCGCGCATGATTTCTTCGGTTTCAGCAAAGATGATTATAACTTTGGAAGCGAAAGCAATAATGCAATGAAAGTTGTTGAAGAGAATGGCAAAACTGCGGAGGAATCGGATGCATTCATTGCACCGGAACCGACCGCTTATCATCACGATGACGAAAGTATCATAAAACAGACCGATGAACCAGAAAATGATACGGAGAAAGCCAAAGTCAGAGAATACCGGAACAAAGTGGCGACCTTGAGAGTGTCGGAGCGGAGGCAATTAAAGCCGAACGGACCGATCCACTACGTAGAATTTATACGCAATATCTAATTATAATGTTACGTAAAAATATTTCAAGTAAATTATTAGTGTGCGGGCAAAACGTTGTTCATTCATTAATTTGCGCAATAAATAAAATCTATTTCAATACGGAAAAAAGGTCACATACACGTTTCATATAACTAGCTTTGTTACTCGCATGAAGTTCTCGAGTTGTACTCTTTTAATTTTAATAATTCCTCTTATATTCTGTCATTCTCTCAAGAACAACATATAATGTAATATAAAGAAATATATATTGACTGTAATAAATTATTAATTACATTAACAGTCTGTGCAGATCACGTGTAGAATAAAATCGCGACACAAGCATAATATTAATATTTTCTGCAAATTATATGTGGAATAAAATCACACACACACACACACACACACACACACACACACACACACACACACACACAC